GTTTAGGAGGTTTGAGGTTTAGGGTTTAGGGTTCAGGGTTTAGGGGGTTTGAGGTTTAGGGTTTAGGGTTCGGGGTTTAGGGGGTTTGAGGTTTAGGGTTTAGGGTTCAGGGTTTAGGAGGTTTGAGGTTTAGGGTTGAGGGTTCAGGGTTTAGGGGGTTCAGGGTTTAGGGTTCAGGGTTTAGGGTTTGAGGCTTCAGTTGTTGCCGGAGTTGCTGTAAGGGTGATCATATCCATACAGATCTGCCCTCCACAGGCCGCAGCGGAGGTGCAGCTTGAGAATGCCCCTGCAACAGGAGGCTTGGGATCAGCGCATGGGCAGTAGAAATCTGAATCCCAGAGCCACCGGTGCTTTCTCACAGAGTTCTCGGCGTGAGGCAAGATGCGGGTGGTAGGGATTGACAGAACGATGGTCAAAGGGGCTTAGACGGTTTGAACTCTCCAAGCCCGAAGGTTTGAGCATCAAAGGCCACACCAGTGTTTAGACAGGCAAAGCTGGAGCGTGTCAATCAAGATGTTCCGGGGATACATGCACGACGATATCACAGCACGTTGGCCATGGAAAAATGCATGGCCAGCGGTGCAAAATGGATGCACGTAGTACCACTCACTCTCACGGCACCAACACGCACCTCGGCGGAGGACCATCTTGATTCTGATCTGCCATGTGTAATTAAAGTAAGAACGGAATTTCCCAGATGTGCTCTTGATTGGGAACTGAAGGCCGAGGAGTATCCGTGCAGCTTTTCTTGTCTGATCTTGTCTGTATGCAGTAACCGTACCAGCTCATTCCAAATGAGCGACTTGGCAATGAGGTTGCTTGCTAGTTTGGCTCCACTTGGTAATTGCTGAGCCATACTGTACCTAAATGATCATGGTCGTAAACAAGCCATTAAGGCAGCGACCTTCATGCAAAGAAACATGTCCTCACAGGTTAAAATATATGACCAGACGAGAGTAAACGGTGGTAATAGCCAAGCCTGAGTTGCGTAGTTCAAGACCTTTAATTTCACACAAGCTACACTTGTGAAGAAGGCCGGATCTTATGGGATCATCAGGTCGGTGTGCTTGAAGTAGAAGAACATGTACGAACGCAGCTGCATCTTTGTGCAGCAGGCGTCCTTTAGAGACAGCCGAGAAGCCCCCGTAGCCGTCGCAGCCCGATCTGCCTGAGCTCCGAATCCGTAATTTTTTCGACCTTAAACAAAGATAGATAGGACTTGGGGTGAATGCCGCCATAGCTATATGAGGGACATTGTGGGAGCAGAAGGGAATATATTATTGCTAATCCGGCCCCGAATCCTAAACGGTCCTAAACCCAAAACCCTAAAACCTAAACCTAAACCCTAGAACCCTAAACCGGTGACTGACGCCTTGAGCCTTTCGATGTCGAACCGCCACAGGCATTGCCGAGGCGCTGAGGCCAGCGACCGCCTGTGAGATAAGTTTCAAGTGGCTTTTGGCTTTACAGAAATTGTTATGGGTTTGGGTGCCAATAAATTTTTGACCCGAATGCCGAATGCCAAAGTTTTGACCGAGAGTTTTGAGCAAAAATGTTTTGACCGAAACTTTGTAACCGGAATGTTTTCTTTGCAAGCTTGGTTCTGGGAATTGTTGGGCCGGGGGCTGTGCTGCGGCTGAGCGCGGGATTGGACTGGGACTGTCATGGCGAATGGTTAAGCCGAAGACCCCGCATCGAAAGAAGGAGCCGGGGGAGGTCCAGCTGGATGCGTTGTGTCCGCGATCACAGGAAAATATGGTCAGAGCAGGGCGGCGAGAGAAAGCTAGAATTATGCAGCATTGAGCAAGTAAAGCTGTATGTGCACTTGAGCTGCTGCGCAGCAGCGTTGCTGCAATATTAAGTTGCAGGGGCATTTTTGAATTTGCATGTGCTCACCACACCATGCCGTAACAGTAAGTAATGACCTGCAACTTTCATTGTTGAGGGGTACCCTGGCAGATTGAGCATTGAAGAAAAGCAATTCCAGCTCCTCGATTTTGTGCCAGTGGTCAGTACATCAGAACTGCTTGTAGCACATTTGTCAAGTTCCGAGCGGTCGCTGCAAGGATCCCGAGTAGCCGAGGCCTGCACTCTCTACATCACGAGCACCACTAGTGATCGCAGGGGCCACCGAAGAGTAACGGAAGTGTATGATTAGTTGAAACTAGCTGAAAATATTCTGCACTACACTGCGAAATCAAGTTGTCTGACTGACGGGCTTGGTGCTAGGGATGATGAGGGTTGTATGATTGACGCAATTTGTGAAACCTTACTCGAAAACTAGGGCACCTGATCTGCTTCTTCAGGGCGTGGATCGATTGCGTGGGGGACCTGGCTGCCGGATGTTCGGGACCGTGGATCTAACAGACAACAGATGTAGGATGAATGCGCTCGCGGCTCAGGAACAGAGTGTTAGGTGAGTTTAGTCACGGATTTGCGGTTGTAGGTGTTGTGTTTCCCCTTGCATGCCTGGCATGGGAGGCGTAACCTCGATATTCCGTCGATGCATTCAGGGGCACTTATGCAGACGACAGTACGCACATTCAGTCCGGGTAATACGCGAAAGTCCTTCATTCTCGAAACAAGCTAAACAAGCATGCCTGTCTCATCGTGGCACTAAAACTAAACCACTACTACATCTCAAACCGACAGCGGTACCGACCACGACCGATGCCGCCGACCGTGCATGTCGGGCTGCAAGGGATGGACAATGGGCTCAAAGAACCACCAGTACCCGCTTGATATTTGTCTGTGCACAGTGTTGGGCTTTGCAGAGAATGGGGCCGGCGGTTGAATATGCTGGCTAGGCGAGAGTTCAGTCATGCCAACTGCGGGCTTTTGTGCAGACAGGCCTGAACAAGACAGATCTGAAGACCCAGCGAGGCCTTCGGGAATTTTGGGGAATTTAGCTATTATCAGATGGTTGGAGACCTGGCCCACGGCCCAAGTCCTAGTCCCTAAATGATGAAGCCCTAAGCAGTTAAGCCGAAGCAAGGTCTGGGACTGTGGGGGCAAGCGAGATGGGCCACAGACGCATTGATCCCAGGCCATCATGGACATATTCTTTCAACCCGGATAGGAGGTTTACGGTTACGCACGGGGTGATCCGACGGTTCTGCAAGGGTTTATAGGCTCGCAAAGGCTTCAGGCTTCGTGCGCATGACTGTTGGGGCAGGGTGGTTGAGGGCTTAGGGTCATTTATATAATTGAGGTTCAGGGCCATGATTTTGCTACTGCATCGACATAGCTTAAAGAGGGAGATCTACAGGGTGCATCTCGTCGCAGAGCTTCAGCCCTCGTCGGGTTCTGGGTGGAAGTCACGGAAACATGTGGTTCAGGATTTTCCCTAGACCCTGCTGTCTAGTCTAGGACATTTTCACGTGGGTAGTTACCGTTATGGCAGCCTTATATAAGGTCTATATACCTTGTGGAAGCCTTATAGAAGCCCTATAGACCCTAAACTCCCCACCTGTAGTTTCCTCTAGTCTAGGGATTTTCACGAAAGCTTCCGTGAGGAGGAAAGAGGCAAACGACATTGGCAGCCGAAGCTCCTTCCTAGCCCAGAGGCCGAAACCCGTGCCAGAATCCGAAACCCTAGATACAAGTGGGAGTTTCCGAAAATTAGGGTACCTTATTTGGGGGTCCTCATAAAAAGGATCCTACTATTTAGGGTGCTATAGTGGGGTCCCCCATTTTCGGAAACCTCCAGATACAGGTCTATGTAAAGCCCTAGTAAAGCTTTAGGTTCACACCGTTTAAACTCTCAATCGTATGACGGAGGCCGTGTGCGACCCAGCAGCTTGGGGACCGGTCCCGACAAAGTGAGACTTGATCCCAGATCCTCTTGTTGACAGTGAGGGCTGTGCCGAAATAGTATAAGGGCCTTAATAATTGGAATGGGGTTTTGGGGTATATTCTACTATAGTCATAATAAGGAACCCCCAAAGTAATATAGGTAATAAAAAAGGCCCCTACATTACCGGGATTCATGAAGGTGTCGAATAGATGCGTGTTACGCGAAGGTGGGGATTCACAGGGTTGTTCGAGTCTCGGATTTCACGTAACGACAGTGTAGCCTAGTCTAGTCTAGTCTAGAAGATCTCCCCTAAACCCTGAACCCTGAGCCCAAAACCCTGAAAGCTAAACCCTAAACGCCAGGTTAGGACTGATAAGTCAAGATGTTTCGGGCTGGGGTCTACTTGCGGTGCCGAAGAAGGAGAGTCGTCATCACTGCAACTTAGGGTGAGCAAGCACTCGTAATAATTAGTATATGAGCTTTCAGATGTTTTCAGGGTTCCAGGTTTGAATTACAGAACCAGCTCTCCTAAAACCCTGTTCTAATCATCAAGACCCCTACACTAGTCCCTGCAGTCAGAGCTCTTCAAAACACCCGGAAAGTGTACCTAACTTCGACAGGGGGAAGCTTATCGGAAGACGTCTACTGCACTCGGAGGAAACCCACCTTTGAAGTGTTTGACCCCTATAGACCCTAAACCCTAAAGCCCTATAGACCCTAAAACCCTGAAGCCTAAGAAACCCGAAGCTTTGAACCAGAAGCCTGAAACGCTAAGAACCCTAAACCCTAAACCTAAGCCCCCTAATCCGAGACCTCATCTCTGATTCCCGTGCCCCTCACATCAAACCGACAGAAGACCTGGGTTAGAAGTATTGCGACCCTTGGGAAGAAGCCGGGCTTTCCCTGTGCTGCCGGCTCGAGGCTGAAGTGTGCGTTGGGAGGTTTGGGCTTCAGAGGTCTGGTATTCGGAGAGGGTTTAGGGTTTAGAGTTTAAGTTTAGGGTTCAGGGTTTAGGGTTTAGGGTTGGTTAGTTTTTCAGCTGAGATTGTCCTCAATTGAGGCCATGGAGAGGATCTGGGAAGTTGCTGCTTACGCGATACTGGTTTACCTGTGGCTGCCCTAACTACTGGTATTGATTTCGCCCAGGAAGTTAATTCAAAAGGAGCAGAATCCGCAGGCTTAAATCCTCAACCTGAACCCTCTAAACTCTAAAACCCTGCCGCAGTCTCGCCGAGAAGGAAGACTGCACAAGGTTTCATGGCAAATCCTTCAGCACCCAAGAAGTCAATACTGGCCGGATAGACGCCTCAACCTGCAAACGCAAAAAAGGGGCCGACGCGTTCTCTTGCATGAAGCTGCCAAAGCGACGAGTGTAGGCATGCCGCTGCCAGTTCTGGGTTGTGTTTTCTGGCGTTTTCCTGTTGCTGTTGCTTTGAAGGAAGGGAATTTTGCTATGATAAGGTTGGTCCTTGATTCGCCTCCGCAGTGTATCTCCAGACCTCAGCTTTGTGGTTTGCCAAGTTTGCCAAGATTTTGTTGGATATGAAGTTCGCCAGCATGACGCGCTTTGGAGCTACGGTCCTCTTTTCAGTCGCGCTTGCTCGTCGAGGGCGGTTTAACCAAACTGGAAGGGAAATCGGGGTGGTTGAACCACATATGGATGAGTTTGTGGTGGATCCTGTTGCTGAGTCGCCCCAGCCTGTGAAACAGGGACTTTGGAGCAGGTTCATGAGCTATTTCGAAGGCACCTACGAGCCGGATCCCGTGATTAGCTTCTCGGGGAAACCCTACGACTATACAGGCTTCTTTCGCAAGTCCTGGACGGCTCTTCCCACATCCATGTTTCATGGTGATCTCCACATCTCAGGGCCGCTCTACGGCATCATCAAGCTTTTGGAATCAAGAGAGCTGCCCATTTCTTGTCCCACCCTCTGGGCAGACAATGGCTTCCATGTTCTCCTCTCCGTCACTCAGCCAGCGGAACAGATTTCCTCAGCCCTTTCCAATGCTGCGATGAAAATGGTAACGTTTGGTCAGCTGCCATCGCTCTTATCACAAGTTCTGAGACACAACGCTGAACCTGCTAAACATGCACTGGAGTCCGTACAGGGTAATGTCACACTGGAGCAGGCCGATGCTCTTAACCTGGTGGAACAAGAGGCATTCGAAGAGCAAGGTGCCAATGCCACGAGGACTAAGTTCCAGAGGATTCTGCACACGTTCCACCAGTCAAAGTTGTTGGTCCAGAGAGTGATGGTCGAGAAGCGAGTCGTGACACTGAGCCTTGGGCCAAAAATCCCCGACTTGTATTACAACTTGGAGATGAGTTGTACAAGAGTCTCGGAGAACGGCAGGGCTTTGGTTCACTTCTCGAATTCCAGGGGGGAAAAGGTGCCGGTGACAACGCTGCACTTGGCGGTCTACATCCTTGCTGTGGCATGACCATGCTTCGCCACTTCCTGGCTCCGTGCCTCGCCGCCGGCGCGTGTTTCACAATTTCAAGAAAAGAAATGCTTGTTTGAAAAATTTTTAGATTATACATAAAGATCATAATTGTGATTATGGTTATGTTTGATGATGATAACTGTTATATTATTTATTAGCTATGAAATTTATAACAATGAATTTACTACAGTGATAGATATGCTGTTTAGAATACAAATCACTTGTGTATTCATCACTATATAGCGAAATAAAAGCAGACCATAGATCGTTATAATTAAAATTCGCTTGGGAGATGTATTTTTGGATAATAGAATTTAGATTATGATATTTTGTAGTTAAGAATACATATATATATATATATAATTTATATTTTCTTAAGTATTTATTAGAAATAGTTGTCGAACAAAATCATGATCTTATTGGAAATGATATAAATGAAATTGTCTGCAAAAAATCAGTTCTTGCTTAGTGATATTCTTGGTTTTGGTCATTGTATTAGTTTTGTTTTATAATTTAAGTTGGTGGTCTCGGATATTATATGTAGTTTATGTGTGATTGACATTTACGTTGATGAATATCTCTATAATGTTGATTAGAGATAGGGTGTAATAAAATTATTAGTATTATATTCTAATTTCGTGATAATAAAAATTACGAAAGATGGAAAATTGGGCGAATTGAAAATTTTATAATTTTGGGGAATTATGAGGATGGAAGGCTCTTTGGATATGTTTGCATTTCTTTAATTAAATATTTCTATTAGGATTTTTATATATGTTAGTTTGTATATATATTTATGGTTTCTGTCTATTTCTGTATTTGGTTATATTTATTTATTTATATTTATTTATTTCTATTTTCTTAGGATATTATTAGTATATTTTTTTACATTTATATTTAAAATTCTTAAAATAAGAGAAATATAGAATTAATTAGAATAAAAGAAATTTAGAAATTAGAATTACAATTATTAGATTCTCTAAATTTTTCAGATATAAATTTCTCATATAGTTCTATTTCTTATTTAATAAATTAATTATTTTTTAATATTTTACTATATTTATGTTAGCCTCGGTATTGGTTAAATTTAAAATTAGCTTTATTATTCACTTAATAATTACGTTCCGTTATCCGAAGCATAATTTAGAGTATTCTCAAAATCATAGTATCTATATTAAAAATTTTATTTTAATTTATAGTCGCTGAATTCAAATTAAATTTGAAGTTGAGAAGGACGTGTGAAATGGGATTTCTTTCGTCTTATTAGGGAGTTCGTGGTTGTTTGTAGAACTCAAGATAAGGGTCATATATATATTTGAATATTAGAAATATCATATTTTCTAATTATTCGTTTATAACTCTATTATTTTTTTTAATATAAATATTTCAATATTATATAAATTTTCTAATTCTAAATCATAGAAGTCCTATACTTTAAATACTTTCAGGAATAAAATATTTCTCATACCTTAATTATATTGAATATATCGAATATCCTAAATTAATATATTCCCAAAATTTAAATTCTTTGATTCATAAAATAAGATCTTCGATTCTACGACCTTGAATCAGAAGTCCCAGCCGAGACCATAAACTCTGGGCTTAATTTGGCTGTTTAGGACTTTGGATATGTAGGACTTGATAGGTTTGAGGATAAGAAATCTTAATAAAAGATATGATTTGAGATTTCTCAGGGTCGTCAAAGTAGCCTGAAGCCACGAGCTCGGATTAGGAGATCTATTGGGTCTGGGAGGGAGACGATATTAATACGATAGTTAGGACCGCGGACCACGGAAATATGCACGAAAATAATCCCACTTCCCTCCCTAATATATCCCGTCTTATAGCCGATTCCTTACTTCGATCATCTCTTTGACCTACTCTCCATCCCGAAAATTTCTATTATTCTCAAATCTTATGGAAGCCTCAAATAAATTTCAATATTGTCCAGAATATATAGATTTCTATATTATAATATCTCTGTAGTCCCCAGATTATTTTTAAGGATCAGGATCTTCAAATCAAATCCTTTATTAGGAAATCTATCTGAGTCCGTGAGCGATTGAGCATCTGAGCATGGGAGGATTTCAGCATATATAAGTCTGAGCATCGAATATCTGAGAGTCTGAGTATTTGAGCATTCATGAGTATTCGAATATCTGAGTATTTGTATTTTTGAGCTTTTGAGCGTCTGAGTAAGTGAATCGTCTGAATGTTTCAATATCTATATCTAAATATCTGATCGGAGAGTGTTAGCAGGTCTGAGCGTCTGATAATCTGAATATCTGAATATTTGAGGATTTGAGAAATGGGAGCATCTGAATTCTTCAAATGGATACGAGTATCCGAGCACAGCGTGGGAGGATTTGAATGTCTGAGCTTCTGTATATATGAATTTGAGAATTTGAGGGCGTCTATATATTTGAATAGTTATATAATTGAAGGTCTGAAAAATTTTCATAATTGAATATCTTAATATCTAGGCTGAGTTTCTGAATCGATGAGTGTCCAAATATATGAAAATTTGAGAATATTGAATATTTGAATATCTATATATCTATATATCTATA